CTGAGCCCAGATCTCCAGGCTCCTGGCTCAGGGTCCTCCCCCTGCTTCTGCTTGCTGGGCCAGCCAAGCCTGGGGAGGGCGCGCTGCCCTGGGGTGCTGCCCTCCTGGACCAGCCTCATCCCTCTTGCAGGGAATCTGCTGCCAGACTGCCTTGTTGCCCAGAGCGTGGGCAGCCGCCAAGCCTGGCAGCCTTTGGTGGGCATCCAAGTGGAGCTGCTCTTTCCTGGGCCGAGTTTAGCACACAGCATGGCTTCATCCTCCAAATATGTCCTGCCAGACAGGCCTCAGCTGCTGGCTGGCGGGGCACTTGGCGGCCTCAGAGAGCCTGGCGCGAAGGGGGCCCGGCCAACATAAATCATGGTTCTCGCCCGGAGGAAGCGCAGCCGCTCCCTGGCAGGCGAGGGCCCGGAGCTGGGGAAGGGGAAGAGCCTCCCGCCGAAGGGACCTGATCCCACGAGGGCCTGGTGACCTCAGGCCAGTGTCCCGGAGGCTCCGGCCTTCTCTGGCCATCTGAAGAGGGAGGAGGCTGCACCTGTCGCTTCTGCGTGTGTGAGGCTTTTCCCTTCTGCTCAGGGTGCCATGGGGGCAGGTTGCGTGTGTTCCGTGCAGCAGTGGGGCCGTGTCCCCTGACTTGGGGAACCGAGAGAACATCCTCTCCCATGAACAAAAGGACTACCCAGGGGCTGCTGTTGCATCTGAAACCTGCACAGCACAAGGCCACTGATGGGTGGATACGAGAGAGCTTCTCACGTCTGTCCTGTCCGAAGAGCAGGTGTGAGTTGTGCTCAAGTGAAACCAGTGGAGTTCGAGGGAAGATCAGTTATACCAGTCTTCCAACTCCTGGCTTTGCTGAGCACACATCCCCCTAACACCCAGGCGTTCATGACTGCGTCCACTTAACACACTCAGCGTCCAGGAAGCGCTGGCCATGGGTCAGGCACTGACCACGCCAGGCCCCGGAAGTGCCCATTCCATCTGTTCCATTGGTGTCTTATGTTGAGTCGTGGTCTACTGGGAAGGACAAGCACCTGAAAAGCTGATTCGGAGATAGGGTGAGCAGGGGAAGAGGCCAGTACCTGCGACTCAGCGTAGCATGACTTTCAAACAAGTAAGATGCAGATAAAGTCGTGAAAAGAAATAAAGCAGAGGAAGGAATCAGAGAATGCTGGGAGAGGGAAGGGTGGGATTTTAATACTGCGGCCAGGGAAGGAAGAACAGAAAGAGTGAAGGAAGGAGCCAGTGGAGCAAACAGCAGCCGCAAAGGTCCTGAGGCAGGACTAACTATTGTCCTGAGGACGACAGGAGGCCAGTGTCGCTGGAACATCAGAGATGAGGTCAGAGAGGTAGCAAGGCAGCTGGCTGGACAAGTCATAAGCTCAGCCTTTTAGAACCGCTGACTGAATCCGCCTCCTCCCCCAGCTAGCGAGGAAACAGCTTGGAGAGGGGGCACTTGCACATGTGCGTCTTCTCTGTGTCCCTCTCGGCCTGGGCTGTGTGGCTGGGTGGTGTGGAGGAGCTTGGAGACAAGGCTGTGTCTCCCTGGCTTCCCCATCTGGAGGGAGAAGTCGAAACTCCCGTGGTCCTTGCCACGAGACGGCAGACTGCAGACCGCGCTGCTCGGCTAACTGAAGCAGCAGCTGCTGTGTGAGAGAGGCGGGCGTGTGACCGCTGAGCAGCCCCTGATGGCTGGGTAGGACATCAGCGGGAACAAGCGCCCAGCTGAGTCGTAGCCGGCGTGAATGTCTGTGACCAGGGACGGCAGCATGAGAGCGTGGCGTCTGGAACCCTGGGTTACAAGCCTGGCTCAGCCTTGACCTTTGAGGCCACCAGGGAACACATCACTTTACCTCTTTGAGTCTCCTCGGGCCTCCCTGGGCTAATCCCTGCTCTGAATGCCAGTGAAGTAGTGCAGGGTGCTGTGTCCCCAGCCAGGGCTTGACACGGAGCACGTGCTGGGCAAGTGAGCTGTGCCTGTCCTCCCACCCCATCCCCCAGCATGATGTGGCTTTTCTCTCCACATGCGTCAGCCCTTTCTGTCTTTATGGAAGTCATTATGGGCCACGTGCCGTGGAACAATCCAGAGCCCCAGACCTTGGGCCATCATGCTGCACGTCTCGACTACACCGGTGGCGTTTTTACCCCGTTTCTTGGGTTGCAGGTGCATGGAGGCAGCAGCAGTGTCAGTGAAAGAGCTAAGGCGTCTTCCCAGGTTTTCATTGTGGCCAAGGACACACAGATTTCTGAGGAAGCTCACTTATCAAGGGCAGCAGTGGGCTGCTGCATAGGTCCCGGAGCTGGCCACCCTCCCCCAGCTGCATCTACATGGAGCAGACTCAGGTGACCCTGGGCATTTGGCCCTTCCCCCTCTGCCCTCCAGGGCTCCCAGCCTGGTCCGGCCCAGCCCTACCCTTGGCCCTGTTTGCTCTGCCTGGCCTAGAAGAACCAATCATCGGAGACTCCCTTCTAATTTGATTTGAGTTATGGAGGGGAGGGGACAGAGCAGGGTGGGGAAGGCTCACACAAACAGGTTAACCCTTTCTCTGCCAAGGAAGGCATGTTTCCCAGGCACTTTGGTTGGGTACAAGTTCCTTGCTCATTCGATGACTCCTTCCGTCAAGAAGCCCTTCCTTCCATGAGTGTCTTGACACTGTTCTACCCTGCACCTGCTCCCCACCCCTGGGGAGGCTGAAGTGGAGACCCACGCGCACTAACTCGGCTTGAAGACTGTGGGAAAGACCCACAGCCCTGGGGGATGCATGGATCCATGCTCCTAGTCAGAATGGTCGGCTGGCTGTTCATGCGTTCATTCACCCAGACAACACTCACTCACACCTGCTGGGCCCTGCAGGCCTGGGCCCTGGGGAGGCAGAAGCGACTGTGACCGATTTTTGAGACCCTCAGCACTGGCACACATATGCCCATACATGTGTTTGCATGGGCATGTGCATTAGGCAGCTTTTTACTATAACCTGATACCTAGGACAAGCTATGAATGATGGAAAGAGAGGTGTATGTAGCCTACAGTTTTAGAGGCTGAAAGTCCAAATGCATGATGCGGGCTCTGGCCAAGGCCCTACAGCAGACAGCAGAGTGTGTGCAGAGAAAAGATCACGGGGCAAGCCTGAATCAGAGAGAGGGTGGTGTCTGGCCTTCCCTAAGCACTTGAGGAATGGTGACTTGTAAATCAGCAAGGGTAGTTAGAGCACTAGGAGCTGCAGGTAGTCGGACCTTAGGACCAGAACCGTGGTGGCCCCTGCGATCCTGTTAGCACCAGGACTGTCACCTAGCCCTCCCTCACCCACTGGAGCAGGTGCTATGAGGGGCTAGCTGCTGAAATGCTCAAACATCATGATAAAGACGATATCCGCCCTGGGGTTGCCATCGTGGGACTCTGAACCAGCCCTCCCTAGCCTGTGCCCTGCCCCAAGGCCAGCAATGCCTCTTGGGCTACTTTCTCCAGAAATGACCTGGAGCTCTGCTTCCAGCCCAGGGACCCTGTGCCTTTAAAAGGCCCTTTCTTCTCATCTTGGTTCTGTAGGCTCTATCCATTACCCCTGAATGGAAATTGCAGCTTAATTTTTCTTGCTTGAAGCCATTAACACTCTGGGCCCTGACAGGAAACACAGCTCAGCTCTAATTAGCCACAGCAAGCCCCCTGCAGGAGCTTCTAGCACAGCCCAGGGACTTCAAAGATAAAGGCTTCTCCATTCTCGCTAATCACAGCTATTAATGAGCCAATTAAGGGCATCTTGGGGCCAAGCAGGCGGCTCTCTTAGTACCTTGAGCAGACAGCTCTGTCGTGCTGTGGCGAAGCTGCTCCCTCTACAGGGATGGAATCGATTGTTCGGGATGTGGAGCCCCAGCTCCAAGGCTTGCCTGCGGGGGGTCCTGGGACCGAACACACGTTCTCCCTGAGACGCTTTCCCCAGCCACGGACAAGAACACTACTCCTCGGGAGAGGCACACATTAGCATAGAAATACACGTTGGTGGTTCTCAAACTCCAGTGTGCTTCCGGGTCAGCAGTTAAGACTCCGCTAGCATTGCTGTTGGAGTACCTGGTTCCAATCCCGGCTGCTCTGCATTCAATCCAGCCTCTTGCGAATGCACACCCTAGAAGCAGCAAATGATGGCTCAAGTCCTTGGGTCCCTGCCGTCCACGGGGGAGGCCCCGACTGAGTTCCCAGCTCCTGTCTTTGGCTTGGCCCTGCCTTGGCCCTGCGGGCATTTGGGGAGTGAACCAGTAGATGGAAGACCTCTGGACGTTCAGTCTGTCTCTCTGCCTTTCAAGTCAAGTGAAAAGAAAGAGTATATGTATGAAGGAGGAATCACCCCAAGGCTGTGTTAGAGTCTCGACTGGCTTCCATGCTGAGTTTTGGATTCGGCTGCTGGGGAGGGCTGATGGGCAAGAATTGGCATTTCTAACTGGTTCCCAAGTGCTGATGCTGCTAGCCAGGGGACCACACTTTGAGCAGCCATGCTGCAGACCGCCCAAGGGGTTGTACGATCGTCGAGCTGTTCTTGAAAACTGTGATTGGACTCCCATCCGTGAATGCCGCCCACTCCTCTCCTTCACCTCTGCCTCTGCCCCAGTTCTAGGAGCTTCCTCTGGGCTGCACGGTGTGGCTCCTCCAGCTGTGCTCACTCCTGGCACAACCACGTCCTTGCCTGATCTCAGTGCCAAGATCCCAAGTCCTGGCGTCGGCAAGGTTTGGTCTCCAGAGTCCTTTTTCAGGAAGGGCAGTGGATGGGGGCTTCCTGATTCCTGAGAAAGCGAGAGCATGGAGTCTTTGGAAGTCTTCCTGACCCCTGAGCTGCACGGTGGCACTTGGGAAAATGGAGATGTGCAGAATGGACAGCATTTCTGGGCAGCGAGCCCAAGCGGAAGGAGGCGCGGTAGTGGGATAACATGTGTGGCTTACAGGGTGGTTTCCCCTCCCCTGAAGTCCTAAACGAAGTCTAACTCACAACCCTCACCCTACATTCTGCCTGTTTCCTTAGGTGATGAGGACACGCACTCAGCCCAACCACTGCCTCCTATTTGCACCTGCAGATAGTGTGACCCCCCAGTTACACGGCACTGTGGCTGCGAAGAAGAGCTTTGGTGGTCAGAGATGATGTTCATGGCGCACACGCTCGTGGTGCTGGGTTTCACCTGGGGCTGTGGAGTCCTTGCCCCGACCCCTCCTCGCGCTCACCCACTCCTGGTCTTTCCTTGCTCTGCTCCACCACCTTGTAAGTCCTTTGTGCAGCTCCCTCTTGCTCATGTCTAATTCCGCCTTCATGCCCTGCTTGAAGTTTCTCGGGGAGCTTGTTCCCGAATCCTGCCACTTTGGCCATCTTTCACAGATGGCCTTTCTCAAAGCACACACTCGGGGCCTTGGGGGTCATGGAAACTAGCCTGTGACCGAGGTGTGCCTCCGGGGGTGTGGGCTAAGTCAGGTGAGTTAGGTGAGACACCTGGCTCTGCAGGACTTCTCAGAGCCTTGAATATCCTGCGATGGAGAGGGGTGTGTGACAAGCAGCATCTCCCAAACTTACTTCCCTTTCGGGTTCAGAACGTAACCTTCTCCCTCACGGGGGACCTTGGATGATACAGAGGCGCTGCGGCCGGCAGGAAAGGTGACTTTTAGAAAAGCCTACAGCGGGGACTGGCGCTGTGGCTCAGCAGTTTAAGCCACCATTGCGACATCCTCATTCCATATCAGAGTTCCAGCTGCAGTCTTGGCTGCTCTGCTTCTGATCCAGCTTCCTGCTAATGCACCTGGAAAGGGAGATGATGGAAAGCCCAAGCATCTGGGCCCCTACCACCCACATGGGAGACCAGGATGGGGTACCTGGTTCCTGGCTTTGACCTGGCTTTTGGGATCATCTGGGGAGTGAACCAGTGGATGAAAGATCTCTCCCTCTCTCTCTCTTTCTGTGTGTGTGTGTGTGTGTGTGTGTGTGCGCGCGCGCATGTCACTCTGCCTGTCAAATAAGTAAATAAATAAATCATTTGGGTTCCTATTCCTGAACGTTCACCTCTTGGAGCCTGTCCCTTCACCTGTGACATGGCCCTTGCCTTGGAGGGCTGCTGCAAGGTTTGAGATGAACCTGACAGATCCTTAGCCCAAGATGAGGTATACAGGAGGGGCTCAATAAATGTATACTCCCCCCCCACACACCTTTTGCCTTTCCTGGTGGGAACATACAATCTGAATAAAAGAAAAACTGTACAGAACAAGGTGGGGGTTGTAAGTGCTTGGCAGGAGGGTGGAGCCACACTCGAGCACCCAGAGTTGGGGGAGTGGGAGCTCCTTAGGGACCAGTGTCATCCTAGCAGGCTTCCTAGGGAGGTGTCTCCGCTGGGCCAGATGCTAAAGCTCAGTTCTCCAGCAAAGACCTGCAAGGGGCAGGGTTGAGCTAGCTTTCTGTCTTCCCTTTAAATCCTGATTTACTTATTGCATTTACGAGAGAGAGAAAGAGATCGTCCACTGAGCAGTTCACTCTCCGAATGCCTGCAGCAGTCAAGCCTGGATCTGGCTGAAGCCAGGAGCCTAGAACCCAATGAGGCCTGCTGCCTGGGGGACAGGGACCTAATTACTTGAGCCATCCCCTGCTGCCTCCCAGGGTGTGCAATAGCAGGAAGCCGAAATTGGGAGCAGAGCTGGGATCTGAACCAGGCACTGCACTGTGGGATGCAGGTGTCCGGGACAGTGTCTTGACGTTGGCGCCAAATGGCTGCCCCCCGTGGAAGGGCGGCTTGGAGAGCTGCACCCCTCTGTGAGCCAGACACAGCAAGGCTCCTCTCTGCATTCACCTTTTCCACGCCGGAGGCCATTCCTCCTCCAAATCCAGCCGACGCAGCACTTGCCTTCCCTTCCCGCGGCCTGAACTTGGCTGGTGTCTCAGATTCCCGCCGTGTGAGCAGCAGAGCAGGGCCTCCTGCTTGTGGAAATTCACTGGCCTGATGCTCAGGCTGCTCAGAAGCCCTGGGCCAACAGGCCAGCAGGAGCCAACCAATCTGGGGTGCTGGCCTGGGCCCCACCTACCCAGCCCTGGCCCCAGAAGCGAGAGAAGAGGTGGAGCTGCCGAGTTTCTCCCTCGTCCACCCCCGCCCCTCCCGCCCCAACTAGTTCAGGAAGCTCTGCTTTGAAGGAGGCACATTTTGTCCTTAGCTCATCTAGTCTGCATAACATCCCTCCAAATAGCATTATGTTTCCCATTTTACTGATGATAAGTCAAAGACTCCGGGAGCCAACTTGCAGTCAAGCTTGTCCAGAGTCCAAGCTTTCTCCACTGATGACCTGGGGCCATTTATTTCCCCGTGGGCTTTCCTTACTCACCTGGCCTGTCACCTCCTCCAGAAAGCCTTCCTGCTCTGTACCTGGGGCCATCTGCCTCTCCTCAGTGTCTTTGGCGGAAGCCGCGTTGCTCCACTCCCTCAGTCTGGACTTCTGGAAGGGTGTCTTATTACTCTCTCCCCAGTGCCCAGCACAGCCTGCATATTAATCCCCATTGAGAGAAGGCGGAAGTATAATTTTTTAAGACTTCTTTTATTTATTTGAAAGGCAGAGTTACAGAGAGAGAAATCTTCCACCCGCTGGTTCACTCCCCAAATGAGTGCAACAGCCAGGGCTGGGGAGCTCCAGAGCCAGGAGCCAGGAGCTTCCTCCAGGTCTCCCATGTGGGTGCAGGGACCCAAGGACTTGGGCCATCTTCCACTGCTTTCCCAGGCGCATAGCAGGGAGCAGGACCATAAGTGGAGCAGCTAGGACTCAAGTCAGTACTCATATGGGACATGTGCAAGTGGCGGCTTGACTCATTGCACCACGGTGCCAGCCCCACGAAGTGGAAGGTTTGAGACCACACGGACATGATAGGTGCTCAGCCTCGCCAGTCATTCTTAAGTCCCTGGTGTCTTCTAAGCCCGCCCCTTCTACCGCACAGGCATGTTTTGTGGCACAGGACTGGGCTCCCAGCTCACCCAGCTGTGAGCCGTGACTCAGCTTGCTTCCTGGATTTCATCAGGGCCCCGAATACTCAGGAGCTGACCTCTGGTCTGGATACACTCAGGAGGGGCCCTGGAAGATCTCAGCTCCAATTCTCTGTCCCGGAACAAGCTGTGGTCCAGCATAGCTGCGTCAGAGCCGGAGCTTGCCTTGGCGCCCGCTATGGCTGCTACAATAATTAGTGAAGGCGCCAGCGAAGTTATGAAAACTAGGTGATAGGTGAATGGCGGTTCCTGCAACTTTCTTGGATTTCAAAGCCTGTGGGTTGGGGATTCAGGCTTTGGAAGTGCTTTCCAGATCACGCAGGGCACCACAAGACCCTAGCAGGTTTCTGCTTCTCCCTTCAGTGGATCCAGAGGGGGCCTCGGCTGGTGGGACCGGGACTGCTAGGACAGCAGGCTCCATGCAGACACAGTGGCTTTGGTCCCCTGCATGAAGAGTGAACGTGCAAAGTAAGCAGGTCAGACAGCCCAGGGCCCAGAGCACCTCTGGTGCCTAAGTCCATTTTTTTCCTCTCCAGAAAGGGAAACTGAGGCCCAGAGCAAGATGTTTGCCTAGGGCCAAACATCTGGGAGCCTGAGCCATGGCTGGAGTGAACATCTGAGCATCCGTCTAAGAGCCCAGAAAAGCCAGAGCGATCCATGTCCATGAGGAATTCTGCCCAAATACTGCTCCCTGTATTAGCTGGGAAAAATGCCACAGGTGCACGGATTGGGATTATCCTATGGGTGGATAAGGCTGAGTATGGGTTGGTGAGGCGTGTAGTGCAGTGTAGGCTGGCCTGGGACCCATGATCTCACCCTTCTCTTCCAGGTCTGCTCACCTGGTTCTGTCTGCCAGGTATCTGGATGTCCAAAGAACTTGTAGGCAGAATACATTCCAGAAAAGAACTCAACCAGGAAACCCAGTTGCCTGTGGCACAGGAAGAGGAGAGTCTGTTGGCAAACATCTGGAAGCTTCTACAGAAGTCCCATGAGGTACCTGTGGAAGCATCTTCACACCTCAGTAGTAGAGCGCCCACGAGCAGTTGTCCTGCAAACATGCGCTGAGCACCGTGCACATGCTAGCAACATCAGTGGCTCCCTATCGCCATAAGAAATAGACGCCAAGCTCTTCCCATGGTGCCCCTATGTACTTACCTGTCCTAGCTCTCACGCGTCATCCCCAACCTCACAGCTGTCACGCCCGCCCAAAGCGCCCTCCACTTCCACACCTCTGAATCTTTATGTCTGGATTTTCTCTTCTCTTCCGTGTTTGGAGGAGGACTCCTTCTCCTTCCCCACAACCCAGGACCCAGGGAAGTGCTGTTTTCTCTGCCAGGTCTCTCCCAACCCCCAGCATGTGCTTTCTCCAAAACGTACCCCAGATCTGACTCTTCCACATCCTCATTGCTACTTCCCGGGCTCATGCCATTGTCCTTCTCTGGCCTGCTCTGTGGGAGCTGGCTCCTATGGGGTTGGTCTCTGTACTTCTAGCCTTTTCCCTCCCAAGCCATTTCCTATGTAGCAGCCTGGCTGATGATTTTGGACGTCATGAATCAGATGCTATCAGTTCCAGTGAGTACCCTCAAGTGGCTTCCCGGTACATCATGTCCCCTGCCTGTCTCCCTATTGTCACCTCATCCGCGCTCTCCTGGTTCCCTGTGTCCCAGCTCCGACCACCACCTTCTCGTTCCTTTAACAAAACAGCCTTTCCCAGGGCCTTTTGCCTTCATGGGTGCCTGGGAGGCTTTTCTGCTAGCTCCTCTCCAGGCTGTCTCTTTTCATAATTTAGGAACTGGCTCCAGTATCACTTCTGGGAGAGGTCCTCCCTGGCCCTTCCACACAGTGGCCTCTGTTCTATCCCGCCTGATTATTTTTACAGCAATCATCCCCAGAGCAAGTGCTGTTATGTATTTGTTTCTACGTTTATTTTCAATGTCTCTGGCTACAACGTGAGCTCAATGGTGGCAGAGATATTGCCTGTGTTTATTGCTGTATCCCCAGTGCCCAGAACAGTCCTGGTGCTGACTGGGTCCTTGGTAAATAAATATCTATGAATGACTGCTTTAATCAGGATGCCAGTATACGACGTTTGTGCAAGAAGGAGATCTTTGTGGGATTTCTGGATGATCTGTGAAAAGGTAGGTAGGTAGGATTTGTAGATTTTTGTGTAGGTGGAGAGACTCAGAGCAGGTATCCGGGGAAACGGGTCTGGCCAGGAGCAGCGTTGAATGGTTGGAAAGAGAGAAGAGCACAGGGGAGGGACTGGCCTCAGCACGGAGGCTGCTTGTGGAATGGGGACGGAGCTAAGGTTTGCTCTGTGCCTGGGCCAGAGGCTGGGGCTGGGGCTGGGCAACTGGGAGGCCGGGCAAGGCCAGACTCTGGGGCCCCTGGAAGGCCAGGCTGGAGAGCTGCTCCCTTCCCCCTGCCTGTGTCCCGTTGCCACACGCATTCCCTGCAGCCCTCCTCTGCACACACAGGGCATCATTCCAATGGAACAGGTAGACAGGGCCACAGGGACTTAGGGAGTCACAGAAACTCCTCATCAGAAATGGCAACGGTGCTCACCCCTGCTGGGTTTCAGAGAAGCTGGGGCAGAATTTGGATGGCTGAGTGTTCCCATCCAGCAAGCCGTAGAATCTTTGCCTTCAAATGTGCTTAAGGGGAGTCCAGCCACGAATCTGTGAGTCGCACACTCTGCTCTCCGGGCTCACAGAGGCCGTCCAGTCTGCCCTCCTATGCCCTGGAGCCCCCAGTCAGTCCCTCCTTGCACAGCTCCAGTCAGAGTCTTCCGTTCCCTCGTGCTTAGGTGGATCCAGTCTGCCTCCCTGCATTTCCTCCTGATTCTGGGGCTGCCCACCTGCTCCCCTGTCCCAGCGCACAGAGCAATGGCTGTCACAGTCCCCAGGGGCTTGTGCCCGCCCCCTGGGCCCTCTCCCCTTCTCCTCTTGGGAATCTCAGGCTCCTGTCCACCCCAAGCACCTCCTGGGGGCTTGCCCTGGTTGTCTCCACTCTGCTCCCATGGCTTCGGCGAATGTCTCCCCAGGAGGGTGCTGGGGCCCTCCGAGTGCACTGCACCCTCTTCCTTCCAATCCTACTTCAAGACCACAGAACACATTGCCGCTGGGAAGACAGTATGGAGCCCACTCCAAAAAGTAGAAGTCGGTCCAGCAACGCCACTGTCCCAGCCGCACTCCAAAGAACTCCAAACAGCGCCTGGAACAGCAGTGTAGTAGTGCTCTGTGCAGCATCCATTGCAGAAGCCAAGAGCAGCAGCTCCTGGGGCCATGAGTGGGTGAATGGATAAACAAAATGCGCCGTACGCTCCAGACTTAAAAGGAAGAGCAGAATTCTGCTGCCTGCTGCACTGTGGATGAGCTTAGAAAACACAGTGAGGGAAGGAAATCAGGTGCGAAAGGGCACGTATCATGAGTCCGCTCACAGGAGACACCTGCAATAGGCACATGGATGGAGACAGAAAGGAGAATAGTGGTTGGTAGGGGCGGGCTGGCAGAGCAGCTGGGTGAACGGAGCTGTGTCTGATGAAGAGCTTCTGTCTGGAGTGATGAAAACCTTCCGGAGATGGAGAGTGCCGATGGCTGTGCAGTGTGCTCAGTAGACTTATTGTCACTGATGCATTTAAAAATAGTTAAAATGATAAATTTAGAAAATTATTTTATTTGAAAGAGAGATGGAGAGAGAGAGATATATCTTCCACCCACCAGTTCACTCTCCGCTGGTTCACTCTCAACAGCATGGCTGGGCCAGGATGAATCCAAGAGCCTGAAACTTAATCCAGGTCTCCCATGTGGGTGTCAGGGACCCAAGTATTTGTGCCATCACCTACTGCGGCCGGGTTGCCCCTTAGCAGGAAGTGGGAGCGCCAGGTGTCGCAACAGGCACTCTGATAGGGGATCAGGGGATCCCAACCAACGTGTTAACCGCTGTGTCAAATGCTTGCTCCACCAAATGAAAAATTTTGTTACATGTATTTTATGACAATTAAAACTGGTAAATTTTATATTATGTACAATGACCTCAATAAAAATGAAAAATTTAATAAATAAGAACGCATACCTACCCTCCATCCCTTGCTAAATTTCACTCATGCATCAGGCATTCATGAGGTGTCTACTACGTGCAGGAACTCTTGCCCACGGTGGGCCACGGCAACTGGCGGCAGACACTGCTGTTGTTCCTGATAACGCTAAGAGTCAGACGCTGGGTTCAGTGGTTCACATGGGTCCCTTTGCTGGACCCATGCAGCCTTCTCAAGTAACTGTTGTTGTGCCAATCTGACAAATGGAACTGTGGCCAAGTAGCGGGCTCAAGATTACACAGAGTTCAAATGCGAATATCTGATTCCAGAGGCTGTGTTCTTAACCTCTGTCCCTGACCACTTCTTAAAAGAAATCCGGGAAATGCTGAAGGCCAAGAGAGCACACACACACACACATACACACACACTCACACACACAAACACACACACACTCACATACACACAGTCACCAAAAAGTTCATGAAAGAAGCATATTATAAACAAATTATGCAGGGGTTTCAAATTTTTTTGCACCCAAATAAACTTATCTTTTAGTTCTGTTTTTCCATAAACTTTTTGAAGTGCCCTGTACATTCATCCTCACACACACACACGCCCCTGGGGGAGGTTTGCTTGGTAAAACGAGAGTGAAGGCTGCTTCTAGGAGAAGAAGCTATGAGCTGCTTCTCCCTCTGGTCCGCTGTTCCGCTTTCATCAATGGGGGATGACTGCTGACTGCCCATCCCTGTGTCCTGAGGATGGCGGCACTTCCACTGGGCTCTGCAGGGTAGGGAGAAGAGAAGGAGAGGAACTCGCTCTGCATTGCCTGGAAGCCTTGCCACACCTCCAGGAGGGCTCTGGGGAGCCCGGGCCAGCTTCCTTATTGACGGCCCTTATAACATCATGCACTGAGCGTGCCCACGTGCCTCCTGACCAGATGGGCACTGCTGGTGGGCAGAGCCCATGTCTGTGCCTCTCTGTGCCCTGTGCCTAGCCTGGGCCCTGGTGCTGAGTGGCTGCTTCACGGTTGCTCGTTGAAGAGATGAACGAGAGGCGGCGTGTTCTAGAAACCCTATGAAGGAGCTAGGCCTTGAGGAGCTCTCGTTCAATTCCTCTTTCCCGCAATTGGCATGAGTCCCCTGCTAGCTCAGTTTCCATTCTCAATGGTGGGAGGAATTCGGGAAACTTCTCCCGAGATGCCAAGTCCGACCGTCTAGACATATGACCCATGGGCTGCCCTTGGCTTGATCTCGTGCAGGAGTGGTGGGGGCTACGGCAGCAGCTGGGGCGTGCGGCCTCTGGGGCTGGCAAGGCCCCCATTCTGGGCTTTGGAGCCCTCTTCCCGGAAAATAGCGGCCCTGACTAAGTGGCTTAGGCACACACCTGGCCGGCAGCCGCCAGTGCAGGGGAGGACGGGTGGCTGCTGCGATGCCTAACCCAGGGTGGAGGGGTGGGGGAACGAGGGGTACAATTCCCATGGAGTGCCAAGTACATGGTGTTCCCTCAAGCTGGGCATGGCTTCCACCTGGGGCAGAGCTGAGACTGTTGGGGACAACAGGCATGTCGTGGGGGCCATCTCCCAGCTCCAGTGCATGCCAGGGCCAATTCTCTGCTCTGTGGCCTGGATTCCCCAATGTCTACACAGCCTGTGACCTGCACTTCACTTCTCTGGCCTCCAGCTGAACAATGCAGAGTAGATGAAGGGAGGGCAGCTCTGGGTCCAAACCGAACCGAGCCACTGCTTAGCTGTGTGGCCCTGGGAAAGTTATTTCATTTCTTGGAGTTTCAACCTTCTCATTTGTAAACTGGGGATAGTGGAACCTACCTTCAGAGTCCCTAGAAAATTAAATGAGATGATATTTATTGTTCATGGCTGGCACATAGTAAGTTTTATTTTTTTTTAAAAAAGAGTGCAGATTAATATGACTGCGAAGTGTCAGTCCTAGAACTTGAAAGGTTACTAAAACATGAAAATTGTGGGATAAATGAATAATGGGAACTTGGTTCTGCGTCCTCACCTCACCCCAAACGTCTGGTGTTTGGGAAGTCTCGTGCAGAGCTGACCTTCACTTTCCCGTTGATACAGGCAAAGACCGGAAGTTCTCTCCTAGTGTGAACTTGTGAGGACTTAAAAGGTTGCGACAACTGTGCTCAGTTGGCTCCAGTCTTGGCCAAGACCATCCCTGGCTCCCCTCTGAGTCATGGACCCACAGTTTAGAGGGTCTGGACCTGATGTGCTATGAACCAGGCCCCTGGAAATGACTGGAGCAGGGGCTGTCGGCATGGACCCCTGGTGGGAAACAGAGGGGCTGCTTACCCAGCCTGGCCATCGAGGGGCCTGGCTGAGTGCTCCATTCAGCCTGGTGCAGCCACGGAGGAGAACTGGGCGAAAAGGGCTGTGGGAAGCTGGTGCTGGAGGTGCCTTAGTCCTGGGGGATTTGGGGGCCCTGGAAGAAGACTCCGAGAAGGGATTTGCTTCTGCTCCCAGTTCTTACAGACTGCTTCTGCAGGGAGGGAGGTTTTAAATAGCAAAGGTGACTTGGCTTAATTTGGTCAAGTTCACAGCTGGACACATTCCTCTTTTGGTTCCCAGGCTTCAGAAATAGTCTGGTGGCGCAGGAGGGGAGGGAGGGGCGGCTGCGGAGAATTGGAGGTGCCTGGGAGAAACGAGATGGGGTGGCCTCAGGTGTCCCCTGCGGTGCCAAAGCCGTGTGGTGGAAGCCGCCTTGAACATGAGGCAGCATGTATGGCTTAGCAGGTCTGGAGTTGTCCTACTAGCTGGAGAGACTGACTCCCTTGGAGAATCACAGGATTGGTTCAAGGTCACGCTGGAGCAGACTCAAGGCTAAGATCTAGGTCTCCTAACCCTAAAACTGTCTGACCTCTGCTGCAGCCACAGCCACCTCCACCAGTGCTGACGTCTGTATGGTGCTCACTCACCCAGTCCTGGCTGTGTGCAGGTCACAGAGAAGTACAGGGAGGCGTGGGCTGGGCCAGAGATGGGCTGGGCACCACCCTTGACTGGCAGGAA